CACTTTGTATTCCATTCCATTCCATTTTGTATTCCATTCCATTTTTTATTCCATTCATTCCATTTTTCATTCCATTTTGTATTCCATTCCATTTTCTATTCCATTCCATTTTCTATTCCATTCATTCCTTTTTGTATTCCATTCCATTTTTTATTCCATTCATTCCATTTTTCATTCCATTTTCTATTCCATTCCATTTTCTATTCCATTCCATTTTCTATTCCATTCATTCCTTTTTGTATTCCATTCCATTTTTTATTCCATTTCATTTTCTATTCTATTCCCTTTCCTATTCCATTCCAATTTTTATTCCATCCATTCCCTTTTCTATTCCATTCCATTTTCTATTTCATTCCATTTTTATTCCATCCATTCCCTTTTCTATTCCATTCCATTTTCTATTTCATTCCATTTTTATTCCATTCATTCCCTTTTCTATTCCATTTCTTTCCACTCCCCTCTCTCACCTTGTCCCCCAGGGCTGCCAGGTCCCTCTCAAAGCCCTCATGCTTGCGTTGAAGAGCCTGCACGCTTGCCAGGTCATGCCCGTAATTGTCGGTGTTGAGCGCCTGATTCTTTTCTTCAATCCATTCCTTGGTCTCGTCAGCATCTCTGGAAGGCCACAAGAAATAGGAATAACTGTGATGTTGTCCAGCCCTTTGGCAGGTGACCGGTCAGCCAACCTACAAGTATGAACGCCGAAGGCAAAAAATCCTTTGCATCCAATCCGCCCAAAATTCAACCGGACCTTACCTGTGGAATCGCTGGACCTCATGGGCGCTTCCCAACAGCTGGCTCCTCTCTTCAGCCAGCTGTTGTAGAGACCGCCAGCGCTCGTTCAGCTCCTGGAAAACGCAAGAAAATAAAGAAGGGGGTATCATCAGCGCAAGACATGCAGCAATGCCCTTTAAAGGAAGGAAGGCTTAATTAAGTGTCTTCTTAACGCAAGACATTTATAAGCTACTAGCCCAGGGGGTGTCCAAACTTGGGAACTTTAAGACTTGTGGACTTCAACTCCCAGAATTCCTCTGATGGGGAATTCTGGGAGTTGAAGTCACAAGTCTTAAAGTTCCCAAGTTTGGACACCCCCTCGGCTAGCCGATAACCCATTGCCTGGGTATTTATTTCTAGGGGGAAAATGTCTGGACCAAACGTAATTTCTAATGTTGAATTTTGCCCCCTTACCGAAGGGAGCCCCCTTGTGGAGTACTGTGAAGCCGTTACCACGGCAACTCCACTGAGCTGCACAGTAGAAGCCATTTTACGGCAGCATGGAAGAAGCCATTTTAAGGCACGACAGGCTGTATCTTCACAGAACACACACCCCAAGGGTTCTTAGGGGTGTCTTACTAGAGTGGGGGAGGGAATGGAGATTTTACAGTATCCTTAAAAAAGTTGGCTTTTTCTGCAAGTCGGCCTGGCCTGAATAGAATAAATTAAATGATTAATTTTAAATTGTTAATTTTAATTTAATCCTAAATTTGATTTAAATTGTCAATTTTAATTTAATCCTAAATTTGATGTAAATTGTCAATTGAAGGTTATTGGATTTCTTATTTACTCTTTT